ACTGACAAAATATTTTATTGGAGCAATCAGAGCACTTTCACCTATGTTACAAAATACCTTCTCCTTGCCTTCCATTTGGAGCACATGAAAAACCTGGGGGAGTTAAATACATTCATGCTTGTGTTTCATCAGTGTATGGAGAAGTGATCACAGACTGGATCCACCAAGCTCCCAAATAAGTGTCTCTGATTTGTTGCAGCGCTGAACTGCAAAAATTCAAAGTTTCAAACTTCAGCATCTAATTTGAATGGCCTTGACTCTTGCAATGTTTTACTGAGTCGATCAGATAACTCTGAAGACACCCCACATGGCAGGATTACGTCCCTCATTATCGGCGCAGAGAGGCTCCTGATATTGAGGGCTCTCTGAAGGGGAAGATCAGGTGTGAATATCTTGCTGTGTGAATCAGCTTTAACTTCTTTTAAGTTTGTAGTCAAACTTTGACTAGCATCATCCATGTGAGTTTCTGTCACGTAATATTGCCTGGAAGGCTAAAGGCTGTCTGAAATGGCACAGCAATACTGACTTTTTTCCTATCCTCAATAGGATTGTTGACCCAATGAAAGGTGAAGGAACAGAAGCTAGGGGCTACAATTCGAAGTATTCAATGCAGCAGAGTTTCATACAGTCCTTCTAAATTCTCTGATTATTTGACTCGGATGTGTTGAAGCTGAGACAGATCATAAGGTACAGGACACCAGATATTTAGGACTGAATTTAAATATTCTTGGTCTAGCACATCTTTAAAAAAAAAAAAAAAGATTTGGACTTCTTATTTCAAAAAGAAAATGAGTTGTGAACATAGTGACTGTAAATATAGTTCAACCATAAAAGCTACAGTTATGGGAATCCAGTATGTATCCTCTATATTCAAATTCCCAAGCCTTTGTGTAGGATTACTTTTCCCAGGTTACATTTTTTCCGTAACGTCCAGTAACATTCACCTAAATATTGAACAATGAAACATAAATACCCAATTACCCCAACATAAACAGTGTTTCTACGAGTGACTTTTCGTCACTCATAGAGTAATACAAGGAGACATCAGTTTGGACAAGGAGGCATAATTATAAGCAGCAGCAATGATATTTTTCATATCATCATATGGTCAAAATCTGATGTGGTTATATGCACAAAAACAGCTCCAATCTATTTAGCCAGTGTGTCTGCAGGGAAAGAGCAGGCTGTCACAGCTGAAATGAATACCTGACAGAGCAAAAGAAAAAGTGCCACCACTGAGCCAACAGCTTTCTTTGTGTTTCTGTGTGTGTGTGTATGTGTGTGTATGCCTTGCTAGGTGATGACATAAATATATCTCAAGTCGATGCAGAAATAACAGGATGCCTCCAATAAAGAACTCGGTAAGGAACCAATTTGAAAATATCGTGTGCATTCCAATCACTTGTCTGGGCAACGTGTGCAGTTTTCCAGGGGTGTGGAACAACAACTGCCAGAGAGGATATTTGAAAATATGTTACTTATTATCCCTAGATATACACAGATATGTGGGCTGCAACAATGTCAATATTTATTTTTTGGTAAGGAGTTATACACAACTTCAAAACAATTAAGACTGTTGAGAAGTGTTTTTCCCTTTTTAGTTAAAAAAAGTTAGTTTGTGGTCTATTAGTCACTATTTAATTAATAGGTCTATTAATACATTTTTTTTCTTAGACATTTACATCAACCAACATATTTCACTTCAATTACTGTAAACCCACCGTTTTTCAACAGTGTAACCACTTTGCCTATACAAAAGTTTTTAAATTAATTGAATAACAAAAAAAGCAACTCTATTTGATTGTATTTGTATGAAGTTTACTAAATGAAGAACAAGGACTTTTTTCTCTAACAAATGCAAACCAAAAAGGTGTTTTTATAAACTCTATAGTGAAGGGTTGACTTTTTATTGAGTCAACCCTTCACTGTAGCTACAATCAAATAATGAAACTCAAACTCTGACTGGATGGAAAGCATTTGGACAGTTTTTAAGACACAGATTCTCTTTTAGAAACAAGTGTTGATTAGGTAATTCCTAAACTTGCATATTCTTGGATCCATATTCTTTAGTTGTAGCTCTGGTTGTAGGTTTAGGGTTATTGTTCTGCATAAGGATAACCCTTTACTGCAATCTCAAGTCTTTGTAGCTTGCAACAGTATTTTATTTTCCGGGGTCGGAGTTCATATAGCTTTAAACATCTTCTAATCAAATTTAACCGCGTTCATGATTCTGTTCGGAAAACTACTACCCACCACCATGGCAATGCTATCAACTCAACAATTTTTCACTGAATACGTGGTGTGTTCAGGCTGATTTGCAGCATTTTTCTTTCATGCCAAAAAAAAGCTTTTTGCAAGTAAACCGAACAGCTCATTTACTGTAGTTATGATCCAATCACAGAACCCTCTTCTATGTTAGACATCTCCACTATATGGCTTAAGGAAAACTATAAAAATTATTTAACAATGGCTTTCTTCTTACAGTGTTATTATTTTTAGACACCAGATTCACAGATTGTATAACTTATAGTTATGTGTTCCACAAATTATCCTACATGAGCTGACGGATCTTTGAGTCTCCTCCAGAGTAACAATTGAACTTGTTGCTGCTTGTATAACAATTATTCTCTTTGCCTGATCCCTCTGTTATTTTGGACATTCCATAGCTATTCAGATTTTGGATGAGGTATTAAACTGTGCTTTGAGAGCTTTTCAAAACTTGAGATACTGTTTAAATTCTTATTTAAGTATTAGAATTCTCTATAACTTTACTCCCGACCTATCTGCAATGTTCCTTGACCTCTACGGCACTTTTGTTCCCCAAAAAACCTCTGAGTTTTTCACAGAAACATTGACATTCATTAAAGTGGATATCAGCAGAAACGGAAACTATGTTGCTAAATAAGAAAAACCAGTATAGTGGAACATCTATTAAGTTTCTTTTTATATTTCTGAATATTAACTGCACCGTATTATCTTTTAATTCTGATATAGACCAGAATGCATTTATAACACATAATTAAGCTGGACATCACATTAGATCGATAGGCAGAGGTTAGCAGAGTACCCAAGCATTGTAATAAAGTAAAAGCAGTACTACTTTAGCCTGTTTTCACTCTGTTAGAAAATACCCTTCCAAAAAAATTATTCAAGTAAAATAGTGTTTGGTTGAAAGGTTTTTGAGAAACCGATCATAACATCTATTTTAACATTTAAAAATTGGGTACGGTCAATATGCTGGTGCAGATTCTCAGCCATCCAGGTCTAAGCAAAAAAAAAAAAAAAAACAATTCACTGGACTTTGTTTCCAAGTCTGAAGACGTTTTGCTTCACATCCAGCAAGCCTTTTCAATCCAAAATGTCAGAAAGAACGTTGAGTTCGAGGCTTTATATGGTGGACCAAAAACAAAGCCTTTTTTTTGGCCTATAAAACATGCAAATTGAACCAGCAGAACTTGTCCGCCCCTTAGGAATGGGCAGTCTCTGAAAGGGGGGTTGTTAGGGGGAATCGTTGGTCTGGTTGAACAGGCGAGATGTTTTGTTCCCCTGTATGGGGGTCGGGGTTGCAATGATGGCGGGAAGGAACGAACTCTATCACTGTATTTTAGGTTTTTATAATCAGAAACCTAAGTCCACCCTCTCTGTTTTAGGTTAGTTTTTCTTTCTTAACATAGATGGCTACTTTCACGCCCACCTGTCTCCTTTGTCAAAAATTTTAACATTCTGGTCCTCAAAAGAATGTTGTTTGTCCATAAGGTGTAGACATACTGCCGAGTCTTGTCAGGTGAAATAAATTACGAAGTTGCGTAGAACTTCTGGTTTATAAGAAATAAATATAAAGCATATTTAGATACAATTTTAGATTGAATAACCACTTTTCAAACTAAAAGCAATATTGAAGCAATACTTAAACTATATGATGCCTTTAAGTGTAAAATACGTACCCTAAAAGAACCTGACCAAATGTAGCCAGTTACTTCCCGCATCTGTAATACAAGTATGATGTTTTTTTTAAGCTAGACAGAGCAAAGTGGAACAGCAATCTGCTTTAGTTCAATACTTTGCTTAATAAAGGGAAAATTTTCATGCAGACTTGGACACAAAATAGAAATAATCACAAGAGACCACAAAGCTGCTACTGACTATTTAATTTTTTGGACAAACAAAGAAAAAATATATATAGCATTTCATATGAAATGCTTTTTTTTCTTCTTAAAGAAAAAGACAGATATAATCACAATGATAATGAGTAATATCTATAAAACATATCGACTTCTCTCTTCATGCTGGGCATATCTTCCAATAGGAAATGGATTCACAACATTGCATCACAATCCACTGGTGGGTCAGGGAGAGGAAGGGGTCGCTCAAGGAGGAAATGTGGAGCCAAAGTCAATGGCAGGGTTTGCACTGAAAACACCAACAGCCAATAAATTCCCTTAGAACATTATTGCTGTCTCATTGTGTTAAACTCTATATCCGTTCGAAATGACTTTCATTCAAATTTCCATTTAGAAGCAATTCGAATAACCACACAAGGGGAATCACTGCATGCATCTGACACATGCAAGACCCCTTGCATAGCTTTGATGTCATTGTTATCAACATCTAAGTGAATCTGGAAATTGGGGTGAAAGCCACTCCTAGTACATTTCTGAGTAAAGACATTGTTAAATATTCCATCGGAATCTTAACTGATTCCGAAACACATTTAGTCTCAGAGGATGCCAAGTGACTCTTCCTTACATTCCCTCCAAAAATGACAAGACTTGTTCCCCCAAACAGCTAAACTGATACTAAAACATATTCAGGTTTACAGCAGGCAAACAGGTCCAAATGGATCATAATAGTCATAAAGACTAACAAAAATCCTTAAAAAATATGACCCCATAACGGTCAATTAATGCACAGAGAGATAATAAAAAGAATGTTTCCGTCTCCTTTTTTCTGTACAAATGACAAACACCACATAACAACATCAATAGGTTCTTTTTTTTTTCCCCATAGCATAGAGTTTTCATACTGAGTGGGATGAATGTGGTGATCGATGAGGCATTTCACCTGACAGGATGTGATGTAACACAGTGAATAAACTGACAGGAAGTGTGCAGGTTTTTGACATTGTCAGGATTGGCTACGGCACTCGCTCATACAAAAACGTACAAAACACCATCCCATAACTACGAACGGTAATCCCTGGAGGACAAAAAGAAGTACCATGTTTCAAAGGATTTCAGATAGCTGGAGGGAAAATAAAAAATAAAAAAATAAAAAAAAACCTGTGCTTACAGTAAGTTGGCTTTGTGACATTTTCGCACCGGTTAGATTTGTGGGTCTTGGCTGGTTGAATACAGAATAGCCAAGTTAAATGAAAACCACTACAAACATGGAGTATTCTGTCCTCCAGGTGATTTAAACAGATAAATCAGGAGTGATTTCTTTTTTGTTGTTGTATGCAATCGGCGCCACGTGCCATGCGTCCTCGTCATTGTGCCTGGAAGTGCTGTGGAGACGCAAACGTGACCCGGTGCTGCCCCCTTAGTCATGTGACCTCCGTCATCGATGCCGAGTGGTTCTGGAAAAATGCATATTATAGGAGGAACAGAGAAGGGGGTAAAAAGAAAAGAAAAACAAGGAAGGGAAACAGAGGAAGGGAGAGGTGTGAAACAGAGGACAGTCACTGTTTAGCTGGTGCATAGAGTGCTCTGAAGAAATAGTGCGCAATCAGGAGGAATGAGAGGAGCGTGGTGCAAACGCCATGCCTAATGTATCTTATGTCTTTGTGGCAAAAGAAAGAGAAGAAAGCAGCCAAGACAGAAAGGATAAATTTAATAAACGTGACTTAAGATTAAAGCCTTAAGCATAAAAAGTCTCATAAAAAAAAGTACGTAATAAAGCTGCAGCTCATTCCAAAGGATGAGATTTTAAGGTAAAGCTTTTAATTTGAAGTTCAAATCTTTGGAGAGCTGTTTCTGTTAATGAAAAGGTATTAAAAAAGATCCTTTTTAGTTTAGGTTCGTCGGGATTGCAAGTCAGGGGTTTTGAGCTACCTGCGCGCTGAGGGTCTCCAGTGGGCTCTCTACACGGGGAAAAGTCATCAATGGCAGACCACGGTATTCCTCCGTCTTCTGTTTAGTTGCTGCATTATGAACACCTTTAAAGTTGTTCACAACACAGATGCCCTGAAAAACACAAGGACAAAGAGAAATGTCTCAGTAAGAAAGGCATATATGTGATTATGAAACTCCAAAACCCAAATGAAAACCATGTCCTATACTAAACTCAAGACTTAATTTACAAAAAAAAGTTGAAATAATCACACATTTCACATTTGCACGAGGTGTGTTATATATAACAACACCAGTTGAAAAGTCAATAAGCGAGAAGAAAAAATAGGTCTGCAGTTTATATTTCGGAAACCAAATGAAGTTTGTTTCTACAGCAAAAGTTTCAGGAGATTCTCCAGACAGACAGACGCAGAGTCACTTAAGCAGGAATCGCTGATACTAAGCAACTAAGCTTTTAAGAAGATGACAGATTAAAATTCTATGTTGGCAAATACATTTTTATTAAGGTGTTGACATGATAACAAAAAAATCCTATCACGATATCCCTAATCGAGAACAGAACAAGTGATGCATAAGCAGCTACAGTATATATCAGCTGAATCTCTTTTTAACGTAGAGATCAAAACTCTGTAGGATTACAAAACAATCGTAATTATTTCGTTTTTGAAATAATCGTTGACTAGTTTAGTAATCGATTAATCGTTAATTTGGAGTAGAGAGACTCTAAAACATGCCTTTAGAGAGAGCAACCCACTTAGACCAGTAATTATATCAAAATTGTATAAAATTATACATATTTTCCATTTAAGTTAAAAAAACAACAACATCTTTTTCATCTGTCAATATGCTCTATCCAGAACTCCTTAAGTGGAAAAGTTTTAGTTTCACATGGTCTATTTTCATTAAAAAAAAAATAAATATAAATAATCCTATTTAAGGAATCTTTGGCTAGCTGATTATTAATCGATGAATCAAAAAATAACAGATAAATCGATTTGCAACATAATCGTTAGTTGCAGCCCTAATCATTATCATTATTACAGCATCAATATGCAACAAATATCTCAATCCTTCATTCTGCATAAATCAATATACAGTATAAGGTGAATTCAAAGATTTTTTATGAGTGATTATTTCCTACCAATCTTTACCAGCGTAATGAAAGAACTGATGGACCTCTGGGCCACCGGAAAAAAGCCTAAATGTTAAATTTATTTCTAAATCCTATATCTATATATAAATGTTAAGTTATATTTGTATGTAGATATCAAAACTATATCTAAATCTCTTTTATATGTAGATTTAAGATTTACATATAAATAGAACATTTATAGATAGATACAGGATCTGAAAATTGATTTACATAAAAATGTTAAGCTATTTTTTATTTTAATTTTCACATTTGACTGTCCATAGAAAAGAGTCAAACAGATTTCAAGAAAAATATAGTAATTACAGAACGGCTGATGAAATGCCAACAAACACACTAAGATCATCAACGAAACTTAAGCTGGCATCTTCTTCAGAGCTTTTTATGAACGCTCATTTATGGTCAAATCAAAGTATTTTTTTGGAGGTTGTCAGCAGCACTAAGTTCCTGGGGGTGCACATCTCTGACAACCCCAGCTGGTCACCCCCCATCTCCTCACTGGTGAAGAAGGGCCAGCAGCGCCTGCACTTCCTGCGTCGGATGAAGAGAGCATCCCTCCTGCCCCCCATCCTTCACACCTACTACAGAGGGATCAGCGAGAGCCTGCTGACCAGCTACATCTCCATCTGGTCTGGGAGCTGAAGGGCCTCTGACTGGAAGTCTCTTCAGAGGGTGGTGAGGACAGGGGAGAAGATCACGGGGGCGCCGCTCCCCTGCATCAAGAACATCGCAGACAGGCGCTGCCTATCCCCGGCTCACCAGATCCCAATAAAGGAAGTCTAAGTCTAAGAGTTTTCTATGAATACTGCCACCTGTGGCCAAAACACAGAACTCCAGCATTCTTCTGTTCATCCTCGTAGCTCCTGCTCGTACTTAATGTTTTTTGTTTTTTTTACTTTCTCACCTTAAGTGGAGTTGACATTGGTGTCTTAGTTGAGCTGAATGCCGTCGCTTCTGAGTTTCAGAGTGCACAGTGAATATAAAGTTTATTTTTTACTAGGTTAGAGCCATATATCATGGACATGCTTGATGTCACATCCACAAGATCAGGGAGGAAACATCCAACCTGAAGTACATGCAGGGAAAATAGGCTACAGGCTTATAAATGCATCAGCGCTGGACTACTGAGGCCTCAGTCTGCTAATTAAACCACGTTTTAGTCATAATAAAACAATTTGCTATTGTAAAGATATTTTTCATTGAAAACATATAAAATGCCTCTTTACAGTTATGACTACATTTATAGTTAAAGTCGGGACTTAGATCATTCTTTTATCAAGATATCAACTTTACAGTAAGCTATAGTAAGCTGAATTTATTTTACTAAAAATACTTTCATTTGGCATTATGTCCATATCACAATTGGGCAAACTTAAAAACTTTTGTTCAAGGAAAACGTGGACCATATTATTATTATTTATTACAGATTATTAAAAAATAACCATAATTTTTGTAAAAAAAAAAAATAAAGGAAATTCCTATTTTAAAAAAAAATATTGCTTAAATCTTCTCTCATCTCATCCTTGTCACCAAATATCATGTTCAAGTCTTATTTAGTTTTTATCCTCCTTATAGATGCATTTTTGGTACAATAGCCAAATATTTTGTAAATATGAGTATATATCCATTTTGCACTAAATTTTATATGAATGCACACAGCACCTGCTAAATAACTCAGCTTAAAAACATAAATGTCAAACTCAGAGCAGCACTTGTGAAAAGGTTGCGTACTCTCAAAAGTGACATGCCTCTACCCCTTTGAGGACTGGAAATGGCTGCACAATATTTTCTGGGAATTGATTTGGAAGTGGAGTTATTTCCGTTTCTACTTAACTGACCAAGGATTTCCTCCAACAGCTTAAATTTGAAGATTACAACTACCAATCATGAAATCTTTAGCTTAGAACTGCTTTTACTAAAGTGGAAATACAGATAGACAGAGGAGAACAACGAGGTTCAACTCAACTATTGTGAATTGGCCAAGAGTTCATGCCTGGTTTGAACAGTGGAATACGTTTCAGAAGAGTCTGTTAATAAAAAAGAATTGTAATTTTTTTTATTCCCAACATAAAGATTCAGCATGACTTTTAAGCATCCCGCTCCATTAAAAATGAATAGCAGTATACAAGTGATTCTCTAGAAAAATGTGACCATAATTTCTGCTTCAGTACAATTACTGCTGTTGTATAAAGTTTATAAGGCTATAAAAATCAATCAAGCATTAAGGGAGTCTTTTAAAGTCAGCTTGGCGCTTCATCTCTATTCTCTTTCTTAATGCTGACACTTTTACACAAATACATGCTTCAGCAGCAACTTTAAGGTGCTTATGGTGTTCCCCACTGCACTCAAATTTATAACCCGTGATAATTACAACTTTCTTACTTGTAAGCTGGGACCAATCCAAAAATAAAAGGACAAAAGGATCTTGTTTTTTTCTTTTTTTTAATCTAAATATGTAAAGAGTGAAGGGTTATATATATATGTGCAGTTTCTGGCATATTTCACCTTTATTTTACCATCAGTCAGGTACTAACTGCAGACATGTCAGTCAGGTTGCAGTGCTTCTGAACTCCTCTATCCTTTAGTTAATCAAACATAGCAGCCTGAAGGAGATTCCACTGCACCAGACACCAAACGTGCCCTCAGGCAGTGGCAAAGAAGAAACTGAAGCAGGCCGACTCACTGCTGGGGCTTTCTCAAGGATCTTGTGTTTGTAGCATTTCATGGGCAGTGGGTCTCTAGTGCTCCAAAGACCTGGAGGAAGAGAGCAGCTGGGCCAGAATCTACGAATAACTCCCCAGCATCACAATGAATTTCCTACGTCAATACCTGTCAGAGTAAGTCTAAACTGTAAGCTGATGCAGCTGCTTTAAATACATTTCTGCATGACTCCAGCATTCTAATTCTCATCCAATTGATGCATCCCCGCCCCATGACCACCGGAGACTGCTCCTCTTCATTTTGTGTCCTGCCACTGATGCAAGGAGCCCCAGCCGAGCCATCACTTTTTGTTCCAAGTAAGTACAAGGTGAAATCTGAACTTTCCTTTGAAGGCTTTCCTAAAAATTTTATTTAGTACCAGCAAATCAGTTTCCCTCAATGTGTTATTACAAGCCATCCGATCAGCATGACGTAAGGCAAAAGCGCATGTGTCAAATTTGCCACTTAAACAAATGAGACTAAAGATATTTTGTAGCTGCTGAGTCCATTCAGACGTCTCCTTTTAGAAAAATGACAGCCTGGTGATTAAATATATACTCAGCTTCTCTTCTGTCTTGATAGATTAAATCACATAAGAATTGCAAATCCATCAACCAGCCATAGTGTTCACATGGCAGGATCTTCATAGGCTATTAGGTCCTTGTGTAGCAAAAGCAGAGCCCTCCCCATTTCATGTTATGCTGTTAATACAATGGAAATGAGTCTTCTGAAAACTGCTGATGCAATGACTGACTTTCTCCTGTTAATCTTTCCCATGAGATCCCTGAATCAATGCACGTCAATTTCTATAGGTCAGTCCCCGAAAAGTATGCATGTGCCACAGTTGCTTCTTCTCCTACTTTCCTACTGACAAGAGTTTCTATGATGAATACGCTGCATCTCACCGGTATACAAAATACCAGCCATAACAGGATTAAGGGGCTTCCAAACGTAGAAATATTGATTTTTTTTTTGTGTGTGAATGCAATCACGAACAGTTGGTAAGCAAAAGTTAGGACATGCCTGTGTAAATTCTCAGTCATCCGGGTCATGGCAACAACAAACAGGCTAATATTGGACAAAAGCTTGGACAGGGCTAATCATTAGAAACTAATAAACGTCTTTGTTGAAACATTCCTAAGGTCTCAGAGGGTATATTTAACACCTTTACTCCAACAATATGTAACAAAGTGTTTCAGGAAGTTGCCTTATCTACATCATTGTGTTTTTTTGTCTTAAAATATATGCAAACAGAAGTTTTTTTAAAAGTCAGAGCAGGTTGGTACCTTCAGCGGGAAAACTCCCTGGACTAAAATACATCTAAAGGTGCTTAATAGCAGCTCAATTGCCCCGTTTCCAGCTTCTCTCTGAAGTAATGGCACACTGGTTGTGAAGTCAGAAGCTAAATTACCAACCTGACCAAGCAGAGCAGCTACTTTAATCCCACATTTCCTCTTCAGTCTTCCTCCTGCGTCTCTGCCTGCTTCTAGTGCTGCTTCCTGCTTTGACCCCCCTAAGGGCCGAGCGGAACTTCCACGTAATGAAGCTTCAGAGGCTGCAGCTGAATCTGTTTACTTTGCTTCCTCTTTAGGGAGTCGTCTACCTCAACTGCCAAAATCTTAAGAGGTTTAGCAGTAATAATTTCTGAGCAATTTAAACTTTAAGCAGAAAAACTTGCAGCTAATGAAGGCAATTTGATTTTAGATGAAAGCTAGACTGCTTGACAACACATCATAGTTGATGGTTTTTGGATTTGAGCAAGACATCTGTGGTCTTGTGTGACAGCATTTCAGTAGCTAACAAGATCTGTTACCACAGAATTATATCTGAATTAATCAGATCTCTGGTTTCGAATTTATTTTCCAGGTTAAATAAAGCTATTAATCAAACCTGATGTTTACCTCAATGTTTCTCCTTTTCCTGGTCCGGCATTTCTTCCCCAGTACAGTATGTTCTTTAGAAACGAGAAGTGCTGATCTCATTGGAAATGCAGGTGCCACATCAGTACTTTCTCTTCTTTCCTCTACTCTTCGAGTCAGCCCAATCAACTAATGGATCCTTAGCAAGTACCTTCTATTCAACCAGTAAAGCACTATCTGAATCCTCTAATAAATTATCTTTATTTTACTTGTTGTTAAAATCAATAGATTACTAATGTATCTGTGGAGGAACAAACGTGACAACAATTTTCTGACTTAATAATGGTAACTGAGACAGCATGCAACTAAACATGAGGTGGGATTTAAGCCTGAATTTAATACATCCACTGCATTAACTTTCTGTTCCAAATTCACAGCATCTACCTGCTAACCTTCAGACCACCAGCTTTCACTTTATTTTCCTTTAACTACATTGAGTCATGACGTTATAAAATTATAAACGGAAAAGAAAAGGATGCATGCTTTCTTGGAAATGTTTTTTAAAGGTGAAGTATTTGTCAACCTCCCTGGTACCCCTGTATATAATCCATTGTGAACAATTTCCTACAGAAGTCACAGGTGTCCATTTTATTTCAAGTGTGATTAGAAAAGCAGTTGGAGAGCACAGACCTCCGTCAAGCAACAAATTTTGCCCTGTATTGTGACTTACACCTGCAGCTAAAACCCGCACAAGATCTGAATCATTATTACATTTTATTGAATTGTTGCATGGCATGAGGCACATCTTTTTAAAAATTTCTTTACAATCCTTTAATAATCCTTTAATTGCTATTCAAAAAAAGAGCTACAGAATTAATAAAAAAAAACATGAGTTATGATTGAACTGATGTAGTTTCACCATTGTTTTAGTCTCACTATTTTTATTAATATTTTTAGAAAGCAGGTGTTAGTTTTCAAATGATATATCACACATGTAAATGGTAAATGTACACATGTAATTTGGGCTTACAGTTTCTTAGTTATTTTCTTTCCATTTGGGTATGCAAAAAGGCGAGGATTACTTAACACGAGGTGGATTTTAAGCTTGTGGTATGTGGTACACGGTGTAAAAATATGCAAACACTGTGTCGGCAACATCTCCCGCTTGAAGCATAAACCAGCATCCTAATCTAGAGCCGTAAGCATGCAGATGTATGCGAGAGCTAGTATGCAAGAACCTGTAACATCTCATTCCTAAAGTTAATGTTCACTCGTTTACTGATAATGGGAGGAGACGCTTAGAGGTCAGTGGTACAAATTAAATATTCTTTTTCTGTTTGACTGCAACCTTTCTCCGTGGTTGGTTCTCTGTGCAAATTTACAAACAATTTCATACATTTAATAGCATTAAACAGTGGCTGGAGTGAATTTCCACCCCTGGCAACAATGCTTTAAAGAAGACTTGTAGGAGAGACAAGGAATGTGGAAGAATGTGCTCACATCAGATGAGATCGAAATGTAACTTGCTGATCTTTCAGCATAACCTTTTAAAAAAATAACATCTACGTCTATATCCCCCTGGACACATAATCATAGTAAAGCATGGTAGTAGCAGTATTAAACTGTATACTGTAGACTCTATTCTTCAACCAGAACAGAGATGCATGTCGGAGATGACAGGAATTTAGAGCAAGACTATAAAACCTTTGGGTCTTCATAAAAGGGCAGAATTTGTTGCTTACAAAGGTAAACACTAAAACATGTGCAGCTGCAATTACCATGATAGGAAAGTATGCAATTAAATATTTAGGATTTTCTATCTAGAAACAGTTTTAACAGACATGCATAATGCTCCCCCTGCTTCATGATTGTGATTATATGTGTAAGTCTATCTCTTAAAATGTAAGTCAACTATGATGAAGTTTACAGCAAAGCTATAATTAGTGTTTCCATGTTACTGCATGTTTAAGTGTTCAAGCTTATTTGTTTCACCCTTACCAGAAAGAGTGCAATGGCTGAACCCAGAATAAATCCAGCTACAACATCTGAGCAGTGATTTCGATACTCAGACACTCGGTTGAGGCCGGTTAGGAAAGCTGAACAGAGCGTGCCCAGACAGAGAACGGGCTTGGCAAGACGGCTGGACTTGGTCTTGATTGTGCTGGTGATGTACATCTAGAGACAAAAAGGAGAAAAAATGATCAATTATATATAAAAAATGAAGAGGATTTTTAGTTTAACATTCTTTCTTTGCAGTTTAGGCTTTACGCCTCAGACAGATCTACAGAGTAAGAAAGACATTCCACCAACAAGGCAGTCAAATCTTTAACAATTCAAGACAGACAAAACCCAGAGAAAAACATTGTTCACGAAAAATGTGAAAACCTTGCATCATATGAATTAAAGTATTTTTTAAACCAAAGCTTTTTAAAACTCAGAATAAAATTACAAGATGAGCTTTAAAAAGGAGTCATCCTTACACCCAAGTAAAGTAATATTATTCCCCGCAGAGCATATTAGCAAGAGTAAAATGGTACAACAAAGTAAACCATCTTAAATAGGGAAGGAATTTGTGATGTTTAATAGATTTTAAAACCAAAATATTTTTCATCTAGTTGACTAAAACAGTATTAAATAGGCCAAAACGAGAACACACACTGTGCTAGACGGCCATTGTTGAGTAATAGTGATGTTTGTGTGTCTGGACCTGCAAGGGGACAGTTTTCATGTTGATCAACTGAGACTTTCAGGTACAACAAAGCCTGTAAATTCAAAAATGAACAAAAAGATGCCAAGAACATCTTTTATCAAGACTACAGAATGTATGCAAAAAAACAGCTAGCCATAAACATGCAATAGTCTAATAAAAATGACCTCTGCCATTTCACTACTTGTGAAACATCCAATTACAACAAACTGTTGGTAAAAAACAAGCAGGTGTGCCTTTCACTTTACTCTTATTTTTAGCCATAATTGCATTGCTTTGGTGTAAATGCTTTAGGTCCTAGTGCATTACTAGTTTCCTTTTATGCCAAAAACAAATTCTGGTATGCAAGCTGTATTCTGTAGTGGTGATCACCTGTCACTGCTATGTGTTTCAGTACACCTACTAAATTTACAGATGTGGACAAAGAGTAAACATAAGTATCTAATCTTGTAACCACAGTAACCAAGTACGTTGGTTCCATCTATTTGTTAATTAAATTATTAAAGAACAATGTACATGATGTAACTGTGATGTTAAATGCAGGTCTTTGAGATTTACTTTAATATTGTGCCATCATCTGTATTAATTAAGTTAATTTTTTAACCATATTATATAAGATTAAAACTAATATCTTAAATTGACTTCTTTTTAAC